TCGATATCTTTCTTTTTTTTTTTTTTTTCTCCTTTCTCGTTGAAATATTTAGGAATTTCGGTCGTTACGTATAAGCATATTTATTTTTCTTCCTTGTATCCACGAAAACAACTCGATCGAATAATAAAAATTCGAGCGACATTTTTATGAATTTAAAAGCTTGTTTGTTTTTTGCGTAATCTTACTTACTGCGATGTTTTCCAAAGCGAATTATTTAATTCATAACCTAATTCAATTTTGTTTAGTTGCGTTTTTGTTGAAATATTTACGAAATATATATATGTATATATGTTCGTCGAATACCTTTTGTAATACCGTGTATCTCCGTTCTGTACATGACATTGGCAATGAAACAGACAGTTTAATGCGAATGTAAGCGCAAAAGGGACCTTGGAAAAGTCGATTCACCGATGATGAACCGTGTTTTCTTTCGAAACACGTAACGATTCTTGCCCCCGTTCAACGATTCTCGATTTTCCAAAAGATTCGAGAAAAATATTAATCGAAAAATATAGCTCAAATAACGCGAAAGATTAAAAAAAGATTTGATAAAACGTATACTATTAACAAATAAATTATGTGAACAATCAAACTTGTATAAAATAAAATAATTGCAGTTGAATAAACGAGCGAGATCGTCATTGTTGTCGTCATCACGAATCGATGACGAAGGTGCCGCTTTACATCGAATCGATAATAGACGCGAGACCTTTGCTCTAACCTTAATGCTTCTTTCTAACAGACGAAAATATGGAAAAAACGAAGAATAAAGGAGCGAGAAAAAAAAAATATCGATCAACATCAACGCCACGAAAATATTTTTCCTATCCATATGAGTTTTGTTTTCCACGGAAAGGAAAGGAAAGGAAAAGAAGGGAAGATGAAATTGATGAGGGCAAAAGTAAGTTGGTTGTCCAATGTTCGGGACAACTGACGTCAGTGCAGAGTTGTTGGCGCCACTGTCCTATGACGTCATTAGGGGTGTACTTGGGGTGGTATGCGGGGGTGGTCGAGGTTTCAGAGGCGTAGAGTTCAGGAAACGGCGATAAGAATTTTCCCGATAATCCTGACTAATCGAAATAGAATGCTTAATCCGTCCAGATTAAGGAAAGGTTATCACGAACAACCTAATGATTATTCGTCCACCAATATTTTTGTACCAATGGAATATCTTAATTGAGAAGGAAGAAAACATATTTTCGCATTCGATCCTGATCGATCATTTGCGTAATCTTTATTTTTAATTTTAATTTATCGAGAAAGACGAAAGAGGCTCGTTGATTAAAACGCGCCTCTTTACGCGTGAATTAAAAATTAGCGAAAAAAGAAAAGAAATAAATTTTATTTCCTTTTCCTCTTTTGACGATTATTCAGCTTGAATTCCAATCCAATTTCGTCCAATAAGTGTCGCTATTCGATCGACGGGGATGATAATAAGATGTCGTGCGTTATAAAAGAAAAAAGACGATTTGATAACGGATAAGAAGTGTAAATTCATTGTTACGCCACTGGTTCAGGCTGTCAAACACGTGCCACCTCCAACCCTCCAGGCCTCCGCCATTTTGGTGTTGAAGTTGGGTCTCTCATCCTCTCCCGTCCATGTAATCTCACTTCGCACTACTCCAACCTTCCTCTTACAAGTCTACGTTATTTTACCGATTCTTTGGCGCGAACCCAGTGGCGTAAGCGCGTATAAAAAAGCAATCGTAAAAATGATAGATGGAGACTAGCCCGCGAATGCCCTTTTCGGCCTGAATGAATTACGAAACTAAATTCTGCAACGATGAAACCACGATACTCTTTCCTTTCTCGTTCTTTTTCTTTTCTTTTCTTTTCTTTTTTTATTTGTTTTTCAATATCCACCGATATCTTTACGGGTTTTTCGTTTTGGCAACGGAATATACGCGAAACTTCTCGTAAATCTTTAAAGGAAGAAGAAATTGAAATGTTTTTTCTCTTTGACTTCTTTTTTCGAAGTAGTGGTTCGTTAAACGAAGTGGATAATCCGTGAAATTTACGTGAATGCCAAAAAAAGAGGAGGATGCCATTGAATTCTAGGATTTTAGGATCGGCTATTAACATCGACGTTTCAAGCGGAATCTCTGAAATGGCTCGTAAAAGAGGACATGAAATTCAAATTGCAGAAAATTTTTTCTTCTGAAGTAAAAGTTCTTTTCTCATTTTTTTTCTTTTTTTTTTTTTTCTCCCACGTATGACACGCATCGATAGATGTATATCTCTCGAATGATTCGAATTGCTCGTGTCATATTCACGTGTAAATATAAAGTAACGCGTGTCATCGATAAATTTCATTACGCTGAAAATGAGAGCAATATTCGGAAATAGGTACTCCATACAATACTACACGTGTAAGTACGTCAGTATGCAAGCCTCACGTGATTATTTAAACCTATTTATAGTACGGTGATGCGGTGAAATAGCGGTAAACTGGTGAAATTCCGCCAATCACGAACAAGAACTTTTCATCGAATCGATGATAGCGTACAGGCG